TTGAAGCACCAAACCGAAGTACAAATTGCTTGATAAAGTGGTTTGGACATTATTTGTATATTATTATTTGCAAATGAAGGTTAAGTGTGCAATTTTTGTGCAACTAAGGGCAACCCCATAGTTGTGCAAAATTGCACACTTAAGGAGCGGTTTACTGAAAAATAATGACATCTTTTACACTATTTTCTTTTGAAACCCATGACTTTTTTCTTAGTGTATTTCTTATGCAAAGCTATTACTTGGCTTCAGAACATATGGAATATAGTTAATGAATCATATGGGCCATTTATATGCATATGGGCCACTTTATTTTTTATATTTAGCAGTAGTTGATTATTGAATACACTTATGATGCTTTTATTGTGCTTGTTTATTGTTTTGTTTTTCTGAGTTGGTCCCCATTCACTGTCATTATACAAACATCTTTTTTTGTGTGTTCCACTTTTTTTTGGGTGAACTCTGCCTTTAAGATGACTGTCTTTAGCTCTTTGTCAGCTTGAGCAGTGACTCAGTTTGAATGAATCTAGTGGTATTTATGCTGATATTTGCATACTGCCAACGGACTCATTCCTCCATCAGCTTGTCCGCTATGCAAAATTCGAATGGCAGCTCAACGCAACGCACCTTGTCAACATCTTCTCTTTGACTCTGTGGAGTGTCTCTGAGAAAAGAAGTTACTAAAATGAGGAAGCATTTTCTACTCGGTTTTTCCCAAAGGATGTTTCAGTTCCTCCGCTCATTTAAGCGCGGCCGCTGTGAGAACAAAGTCCACGTCTCGCACGGCAACAGACCTGAGACCTGTAGGAATGTGCAACATGAGTCAGGATCACCGTCTTTGGAGAGGACCGGTGTCTTTTCTTTCTCCTTCTCCTTTCTTTCCAGATCTGCTGTAGTTCTGGACTAACAATAAGAGCATTGTGTAGAACTGCAGGACCAAAGCGGTCTCTGTTCTTCTATTGTTCTTTTTTCTTGGCCTGCTCACTCCTACTTTTCTCGCAACTCCTGAAATGACGGTTTGTCAGTCAGGATGAAATATGACGCATTGTTTTTTGGTGTTTTCCTCCCCCTCCGCTTCACCCTTCTTAACCAGACTTTTAATAATTGCAAACACATGACGTTTTAACACATGGTTGACCACACACTTGGGCATGTTGTTTTCTGCTTTGTATTAATTTCCATATGGCGTACTTCAGTGTAGAGACAGTTTAATGAGAGACCACAGGCTATATTGCCTGTGTAATAATTATATTATATATTGTATATCCACGTCTTGGCTCTGCATTGCTTGTAAATATGATCCAAAATGTATAAAGACTTGGACTACAAGACTGATAAAAACTTTTCAGGTTTAGAATAAGCGAGGAGCTATAAAAAAGCCTTGTACATCAACAAAAGCATATTCATATCCTCAATTTAAAAGTCAATAAATAAAGGGCAGCAGTTCCTCTAAATAAACCCAGCCTAAATGAAAAACAATTGAAACTGAGGTATTGGATGTCTGAGAAGTCCCTTGGGTCAGGAGAGGAAACAGATTTTTTCTTTGTGTTAAGGCCTGCTTTGTTTCCTGCCTCTGTTAGGCCGGTTCTTGATTACAGTTACTGACTGCTACGTGGCTTTCTGGCTCACTTCCTTACTCGACATCCAGCTGGATACTGTTTTAATCCACCTTGGTTTATAGTTAATGGTTTAAACAATGGTGAGCTGTGAAATTGAGTTAGTAAAGAATACAGAATTGTGGGATTGTGTGAAGAATGATGTAACATCTACCATCCTCAGCATTCACTCTCAAATGTCTTGTTGTTGACAATTTCTTTTTGCTGTAGACTGGAAAAAGTATTGGCTGCCAAAAACAAGACACCTACCTTCATCTTTTGTAAATTTATGGGTGTAAGAATGATATTAGGTGTGTCTCTTTTCAGCATAATTAAACTTTGCCTTCATCTCAGTACCACAGACATGGTTTTCCTCCAAACCAAAATTTTTGTAGGTATCTATTTTCCTGTCAACTCTGATCACGAATGTTTGACAAGTAGAATATCTTCTCCCCAAGATTGAACATTTATCTCACTGTTCTTTACCACATGAGTCTTCTCTGTGCCTTTTACATCATTCACATCATTTCATTTTAGATTGAACGTTTTTTAATGATATAGCTATTACTAACCACGAGAGTTGAGTGCATGCTTTAAGGGGGAGTCTGTATGGTTGTCATTCCTTTCCTGAGTGCTTAGCCTTAGGGACACAATACCATTTGTTTATTTATTTCATTATTTATCTGTTTATTTTTCTTATTTGTCTCATTTATCTGTTTATTTTTCTTTTCCATTGTTTAAATTTTCTTATTCATTTGTTTGTTTATTTTAATTAATTTTTTACATTTAGCAGTAGTTGATTATTGAAAAAACTGGCCAGTAATGGGTTTTTATTTGCTATTTTTAGATTATTATTATTATTATTTTTTTTTTAGATATTTAGATCAAATCTGACACTTTTATTTTAAGATATATCTCAGCCAGAATTTTTATATTATGTATTTCTACTTTGTTTACAGTATAACTGCTCAAGCAGACAAGCTCTTTTTGGCTGTAAATGAAGAATATTGGCGGAGATACAGACCTAATCATTAGCCCAAATCCACACCACAGAATACAGTCATCAGGTATAAGATATCAGCAGGATTTTCAGCATTGGAAATGAGGTGCTACACTGCACCATTGCCATGAGCCGTGCAGCAGGGACAAGGCTTGTCTGACTGGGTCACACTTCTACTAATGCTTTTTTAATGAAGCAATTCATCACTGATCTTTGTTTTTCTCTTAATATGTGGTCTCTCTTTGTTCCCCCCTCCACAAACATGCTCAGGTTTGCACTGATCTGATGTTGGGGGAGAGGAGATGAGCCAAATGTATGCCTCATCTGTATTCTGATGTGCTAGCACAAATGACTTGGAGCCATTTTAGGTGTACCAAAGTATCAAAGCATTTTTCAGTTAGATTTTTTTCTATACGCACCATGTGAGCGTAGGCTCAAAGAACCGAATTCCTCCTCCTCATGAGCCCAGCTTTGCTTTGAACTTCAGATAATGTAGCTACGCAACGGTATGCCCACAATTAGGGGTTCTCCGATCAGGATTTTTGAGGCCGATCACCGATCACACACTGTAAAAAATGACCGTGAATTTAACGGTAAAAGACTGTAAAAATGCTACAGTAAAAACCTGTTAAATGGTTAACGGTAAATTCCCCTACTATATACAGTGAAAAACTGTATTGGACATTTCATGTATTGGACATAAATTTTATGGTAGTATACCATTTTTGGAAGTGAAAAATACCGTATAATTTACAGTGAATAACTGTAAATTGACATTCCCAGAATTCCCTGTTACATTTCAAATTTGATGTTTTTTGTTGTTGAAATAACTATGTTTTTTCTTAGTTTTTTCTTATCAGTTTTGTATATTAGGGTTTTATGTTACACCTAACGTTGTTAAATGAATGTTTATTGCATTATTTCAGTTTCATGTGTGTTACCATGATGGTGTTTGGTGTTTGTGTGAATGACACTGTGCACCTTCTATATATGTTATTATCTAAAAGCTGCTTGTGATGGGCTTTGGTTCATCATGTGACTTTCTCATCACCACCTGCATTTGGTGGTTATCAGTGCATTACAAAGATACAAAACAGATTTCAGTACTTCAATAGGTTGGTATATTATATCAGTTAATGAAATTATGGTATTTAAGTTAAAACCGTAAAACCTAAAACATTGCTACCGTATTTTTTACGGTGAAATTCCGGCAACCACAGCTGCCGGTGTTTTACCGTAAATTGTACAGATTTTTTTTTTACAGTGCAGAAAGCAGTGTCTGCCGATACCGATCTTTTTAAAGCCTTCTTTTTATAATTTATAACTATTTATAGTGATACTCCAATCAGGATTTTTAATCATTTATTCAGGGCCTGAATTTCATTTTTGAAAATGGGGGGAATTCCCCTCTTAGGTGACTCTTGTGAGGGGGGAAGCAGCACTGACTGCTTTCACACAGAACCCAGGAGTCCACTACTGATCCATGGCTGTTTACCACAAACACAACATTTATCCAATATTTTGATTTCAAATCCAAACATTGTCACTGAAAATGCTTTTTCAGCGTTGCAATTCTTTTTTTTACACAGTACAGTAATACAATCTTTAACAAACAGACATGTTTAAACACAATAAATATAAGCAACACATTATTCAATGCTTTTTACTTTTGCATTTACTTCTAGATTTATATATTAAGTTGCTCAGCCAAGTGGCAAAACATTTAAACTACTTTTCTTATGTTATCACAAACTTACCATTGACAGAAATAGACAGCTCTACTGCCTTTTCTTTTGCATTTAAATAGAGATGCACCGATCGATCAGCCAGGGATCGGAATTGGCCGATTTTCCTCGTGATCGGTCCGGATCGGTGATCGGCCGGTCAGTCTCACTTCTTTCCGATTTCGAGCCGATCCGTTTTGTTACCAGCGGTACAGGCAATAACGTCTGCCAGTTAGACACAGTCAGTTTTGGAACATTAGACTGTGTGGAAACGATCTCTGCACTGCTGCAGACGCGCTTATAGACTTTCTTATAGAGCATAATATATAAAATCTATATTTTATGGTATATATTTTCAATATATTTTTCATTGTTAAATGTTTTTTATCATGAATTGTTACTTCATAAATGATATCTCATATTGTGTGTATTGATTGATTGATTGATTTTTACATGAATAATACAAATTTATGGTAAATGACTTAAGGTTTTATTTTCAAGAACTTCATTATTTTACTGAGATTTTTTTTCTTTATGATGATTACCTGTTGCAGACTTCAGTGTTGTAGTGTGCGTTTGGCAGGAAAGAAAAATAAATACACATTAACTTCACTATCTGTGGACTGAGCCATTGAGTGGATGCATACACTGAAACCAACATTGTGTGTTTTGGAATACCCACAGACCCTTGATGAGCAACCCTTGGAGGTTCCTGTGAGTCGGGGACAGGCGGATCTCAGCCCGCCGTGGGCTTTCTAGACTCTAACTTTGTTTTACTCAAGCCAGATGTCCGCTCACCCTGCACATGACTCCATAATGAGAGCCAAACCTGAGACTATCATTCCTTTGCTTCATGCACAGTCTGTTTTGCACAATATTCCTCCTTACATAATAATTTACTGGCTTATTTTAAAGGATGGAGGAGGTTGTGCTCCTTTGAAGTGTTCGCACAGCCCCACTGTGTGCTGGTACTTGTTTTTGACTTCTATCCAGCTTATACATTGACTGCACGTCTGCTTCAATTAATATACACCCAGAGATGATAATTAAACCGAGATAAAACTCCAGGGTGTGCTGCAAATGTTTAACATTTTATTGCTCCAGAATTGTATTGCCCATTAGTGTGTTTTGCATATTTTGACGCGTCTTGAAATATTCCTGTGTAGCATAAAGTTTGCATGGTGTAACTGCTAAATACATATACAGTTACAAGAAAATTATGGGTTATGCAACTATACGTGTATAAACACGTCCTGCTGCAAACAAGCAGAGAAATAACATACATGAAAAGCAACAGTTTGTTCAGTGACCTAAAATCAGCATTATGTGGTAACATCTTGGTGAACTGGTTTTATTCAAGAAAAAATATTGCTTAATACGACTGAATTAACCTGTTAAACCAATGAAAATTATTTTAGGGGTCAGATAAGGTAAAATATAGTAATATTTTCACAGACTTCCTACTTGCCAAATAGGTTTTTATTTTTTTATTTTATTTTTTTTTGTTAAACAATGTTTTACTTCTGGCTTTTTATAAGAAAAAAAATGGATATATATTTATAGGCCTATATATATTAATCTGTCATATGCTGCCTGCCAGCCAAGTTATTTAGAGTTTCCTTTCAGATGCACTCAAATGCACTAATCTGAATTATTGACATTGTCATGTACATTTTTGTTGCTGCTGTTTTACTAGGGAGAATAGTTCAGAGTTAAGCAGTTCGTAAATACTGCAATCCCTGACCACAGCGCTCTCACCATGAAACAGTCACAAATGCCAGTGTGGTCAATGATCAAATATAAATCTGTTGGAAAACAGTGGGCCTCTACAGTTTTTCCTCTAAGTGGCAGTTTAGTGTGATTTTTCTAGCCTCTTATCTTTATATGTTGGTTTCCTATGGTTACTTTTTGGTACTTTGAGTGCCAGCTGACATCCTTCATCGACAATATGATTACATTTGATAATTCTGACATGATTTGAAGGCATCATTAAACACAGAAAGACTTTAAAGGTGATCCGTGACGCTTGCATGAAGATTTGAACAAATCCACCCTTCTGTAAGCAGTCGTCAGTCACTCATTTCCTGATGTCCAATGCGCGCTGATTATGTTTTCAGATTATGAGCATACGTTCCATAAATGTTTCACACCTCAGAAACATTATAGGCATACACTAGTGCTCAGACATAAACTTATAAGCTCATGTGCTTATGTTAAGCCTATTCCGCAACAACTCATGGCACCCAAACTCTCACATGCGCTTACACTGCCTTTCCACATATGTAAACATGTGCTCTGTCTATGTCTTTCCTTGTATTTTTCTCTCTCTCTCCATGAGTCCGTTTTACCCCGTCACTTTACAAAGGCCCCATTGGAGTAGGAGGTAATTATTCTTGACACTAAGGTGGCCCGGCCATCTAACCCAACACTGGAATGCTGAAGAAACCTCTTATAGTGCTATATGATTTAATTACATAACTGTAAGGTATTTCTCAGGAGCTCACTGTATAATTTATGACATGATAATATGTCACCCTCCAGTAGCCTCTGAAACCAGTGTAACATAGTCATGTGAAACACAGAGCCCTTTTGCTAGACGGATAAGTCATAAACATGTTTCATATGAGGCGATTATAAATAGCTTTTTTGTTTTTACAAAAAGCACACTGAAAACAAAATATTTTTGGGGATATACTCAATTCAATTATGGACATCGATTCCACATAATTTGTGTTCACAGTACCCTACACATTCAATAGTTTTGTGTTAATCAGAAAAGAGTACATGGTCTAATTAAGTTATCCTAACATAATTTAATCATGTTAACTTTACATCATTATCTCTCTCCAGTTTTAACGCTTTAGGTTGTTAATATGTTCCATTTTAGATATAAAGACTTTATTTCAGAGATCCATCTGTCTTTTAAATGATCTGAACTTTATTCAGTGCATTACAATATAAAATACAGTGATTAGCAGGGGTGTCCATTCCTGATTCTGCATGGCCAACATCCTGCAAAGTTCAGCTCCAGCCTGAACAAACTGCACAGCTGTATTGGCAGAAAATAACTGATGTTTTAAAACTATAAAATGTTAGTTTTAAAACTTTTTTCCCCAAATATATTTTTAAGTCTCTATTACCTTTACAAGGTCACAATTGGTAAAGATGACCAATTTCAGTGCAGTCCACCTTCAAGGAATACTCCACCCAAAAATGAAAAAAGTCTCTCTTCATCTCACCCTCAAGCCGACACAGATATATATTATTTTTTTCCCCAGAGTGAACGCAAACTGAGACTCTTTTTTTTTTAAACATCTCTGTGAGTCCATATAATCCAAGTAGATGGGTCCCTCAAAGTTGATGCTTCAAAAACCACACAAAACGAAAATGACCGTAATGTCTTCTCATGTCAAACAATAGCTGTCTAAGAAAAACAATATGTGAGCTGTGTAGTATGTTCAAATTCATAGTATTCATAAAACAGTAGGCAAAAAGTCCCCAGATGATTGACCTCTTCTTGGTTGTGAACTGCGCATCTGATTGTCAACTTTGAAGGAACCAACCATTTGTGGAATCACAGACTATTTTTCTAAAAATCTCAGTTTGTGTTCCACAGAAGAAAGAACGTCATATACATGACGGTGAATAAATGATAAGAGAATTTTCATTTTTGGGTGGAGTAGCCCTTTACGATCCATAACCACCAACTTTAACTGTGGATCACTCAAAAATGGAACTTCATTACAAAAAGTCTTCATGCTTATTATTAGTGAAAATGCACAGCAATTATAATTAAGCTGTTAATTACCTACATAAAATGCATAGACCACTTGCTGATTTGGTAGCACATAAAAGCCAATAAAATGAACGTCTTATGAGGAGCAGTGGTCTTCTTTCAAAGAGCCATAGAGCTATTTCACCAGTACATCTGGTGAACTCTTTCAACTCTTTCATTTAAATGTCTAGATTTGCGCTGACTATTTGAATAAACTACCATTCCTTATTATTCATCCCAACAATATTCCCAAGTTCGCAATGAAGTAATATAATACATAGCAAGTTGTATAAGCTGTACAAATGTTGGCGAAACTACATATAGGCCTTGAATAGTCAACGTGATTTAAAACCGTGTGGGTGTTAAATCAAAATGTATTGTATATAATCTTAGATAGACAACTGTTTATGAATATACTAATATGATATTTGCATTTCTTACCTTTTACCAAACTTTGCCAGAGAGTCCTCTCAGATGTCTCTCACCATATCAACGGTCTTGCTTCGCAAGGCACACACGCGGCCACTCAAATTGCTTCCGCGCAAACACAAAAAAAGAAAAACTTGCAGAAGGCAGACACAAAAAATATATGAGGAATATCTTTGTACGGTATTTCTGGAATGCAACCTAAATATGTGCACCGTGAACAGCAGGTCATCTAATTATTTCTTAGGAAATGAAGCTGTCATAAACCCTTCTAAGCACACTCGCAAACTGTTCATTCTCAGAACATACAGAAGGCAACATTTTCTGTCTCATTTCTATAATGTCGAAAAACAATCTAGAAAACAAAGCAGAAAAACCATGTATGCCTATGTGATTTACATAGCATGGTAAATTAAATTTACACTGAATTAAGTAAATGTAGAAGGAGTGTACATAATGAAATTAAATAGAGGCAAAATGCAACAGAATTGTGTTGCATTAGCTCATTTTATTTAAGTAAACTGAAGCAAAGTAAAAATCATGTTGAGTGAATGGAATTTGATATAAGTCTCAATTTGAACAATTTATTGCAACATGATCAAATCACATTTTAATGTTGAAATTTGCTTAGGCTTTACGCAATATAATTATGTTCTTGTCTCAAACATAAATGTATTAAGTTGACTAAGTGTATTGTTTTAGTATTTTCATTAGAGCAGTTTTCCCTTTATTTTTGTTAAAGTATGTTAGTGGTTTGTGTTTGTATTTAATATTCTAATGTTTTGACTAATTTGAGGACTGAAAACCTGTCTTAAAATCTATACATTTACTGTACATTGAGATAGGGCTGTGCGATTTGGGGAAAATATCTAATTGTGATTTTTTTTTTGGCATATTGCGATTGCGATTTTGATTTGCGATATTAATTCTGTAGAGCCCGCACTGGGGGGAGCTCCGCAGCAGACATCTACCCGACAGTCAAAGCGGCATTACGTCACCAAAGTGCGGACTCAGAGGAAGACCGTGAGGGTTTAGGGTGCCATTTGGGACAGAGCCTATGTGTATCGTTACCCTGCTGAAAAAAAAAACAATAGAAACCATCACAGAAATTCTTATGGTTTCCATTATAACAATTACAAAATTCCTTTTTGTAGTGTGTTTTGGGCATTATTCCAATAGGAATTACTGTTGTTCTATTATTTCCCATCTGCCAGATTACATCTCACCAATAGAATCCATCAAATACCAGTAGACACCATTATAGTTTACATTAAAGCCAATATAATTCCCATTATAACCCTTAAATCCATTAAATTTTCTATTGTGTTTTGGGAGGGGTTCTATTGTTTTTTTCAGCAGAGAATATTATAATGGTATTACTATTTTAACAGAATTTACTTAATTACTGAATTTCACAGGAAAGATTAGTTTATTTTGAGTAAATAAAGAACTGTTTTACTTTAGTCAATTATTAAAGTATTACATAGGTTACATAGGCTGATTTATTCATTTTTAAGTATTTGGGTATTTAAGTATTTCATTTCATCCAAGTGAAATTAGCAAAGCAGTTAGACCTGAATTTACACTTGTTTTAAATGCGGAGCCAGGCATGAGTTGACACAGGTCGCGCTCGTGCGACAAGTAGGGATGGGTGATATCTTATCGTTTGCGATATACCGGTAAAAATTCTCCCCACGATAAGAATTAGTCTTCCTGCGATAATAACGATAAAGTCTAGTTGTTGACATATTTCTGTGTGCGACAGTGCGGAGCGACATCACGGAAAGCGGACGTGAAATTGAGGAGGAGTAGCCTATATCGCTAAATGAGGA